AGAGAAAGGGTAATAAATATCCTTACTGTTCTCCTTCCTTCCTATTTCTTACTGAGTCTCCTAATGGCCATCCCCAACTGGAAGCCAGAAGGCAAGAGGGGTCCTATTGATGTAGTCCATATAGATGAGCAACTTGGGCAGAAAGGAGGGTGGAGAAGGGAAGAGAGTATAGTTACAGGGTATATGGCAGCTACCAGAACAATGAAAACCTTTGGAGGATAAAATCTACCAACCAGCCCTAACCGGTTTGGCTCAGGGGATAGAGCATCGGCCTGCGGACTGAAAGGTCCCAGGTTCGATTCCGGCCAAGGGCGTGTATCTTGGTTGCAGGCACATCCCCAGTAGGAGGTGTGCAAGAGGCAGCTGATCGATGTTCCCTCTCTCTTCCTCTCTGTAAAAAATCAATAAAGTATATTTTCCAAAAAAAAATCAAAAAAAAAAATCTACCAACAAATTGTTTCCAGTGCTGGCTAATGCAAAATAATGTGCTAGATACAGAGTAGTAGAGAAAATGATACTTCATTTTTCTAAAACTTTCAGCAATTAATTCAGATTAGACAACTGATGAGACTTTGGGTATTGGACAATGGATTCCAGCTTCTACAACCCTACTATGACTTGAGCATTTTATTCTCTCTCTTCATTGTATCCATAAGGCCTAGCAACTACCAACTAATTCCACAGGCTTAGTAGTTACTATTTTTTCTTATAAATCTCAAATGCCAGATGTATTACATAGGTCAGTGCATCTCCTTCTACTGTACCCCATCCAGATTTACCACTGATGAAAACCTTATTAACTGCGGTGCTATAGCATGCCAGGGGCTATTAACAGTGAAGTTATTTCAAGTCATAGGTATTATGTATACATATATTTTGTATATATAAGATATTACTTATATATTATACATTTACACAATAGACACTTATTCTTTACTCAAGTTGACCTAAAACTTACAGACAGACTAAAAATGTAAATTTGAAAAATTCCATTACAGTTAAAGAAATCGCATTCATGGTTTTAAACCTTCCTACAAAGACAACTTTGTAAGCCAAATGGATGTATATATAATTTCAGGAATATGTACATGTGTAATACATATGAATAAATTTGTACATATTACATACATGAATTTACTTGTTTTCAAAGTTGTTGGTATAAATTATTGATAGTATTCCTTTAACTTTTTCTTTCATTGAAAAACTTTGGAGGGGAAGATTGTAGATTCACAAGCAGTTGTAAAGAATGATACAGACAGATCTAGTGTATCTTTTGGCTAGTTTCCCCCAATGGTAAAATATTGGAAAGCCAAGTATGAAACCACAAGTAGGATATTGACATTGATATAGTCAAGATACAGATAATTCTGTACCTGCAAGGATCACTTCTATTGCCCTTTTATAACTACACCTATTTTTCTCCCTACTTTCCCACACTGGAACTTAACTCCTGGCAACCAGTAATCTGTTTTCTATTAATATAACATTCTTGAAATGACAAAATTATACAAACTGAACATTGAAATCAAGTGTTGATTCCTCACTTTATTCTTCTTTTAAAAAATTGTTTTAGCTATTCTACTTCCTTTGCCTTTCCATATAAATTTTACAATACTCTTGTCTGTATCTGCAAAGAATCTTGCAGAATTCTTGATACAAATTGCACATTAAAGTATATATTAAGCTGGGCAGATTGATACTGTATTGCATCTTCTAATTCATGAACATATGTCTCTCCATTTATTTAGATTGTTTATTTTTAGCACTTTATAATTGTCAGCATAAGAGTTATAAATACATTTTGTTAGACTTACAATTCAATATTTTTTGAGTATACATGGTATTGATATTTTAGTGTTGTGCTCATTGCTCATATGTAGAAAGAAAATTGACTTTTGTAGGTTTATTTTATTTTTTAAATATATATTTTATTGATTTTTTACAGAGAGGAAGGGAGAGGAATAGAGAGTTAAAAACATCGATGAGAGAGAAACATTGATCAGCTGCCTCCTGCACACCCCCTAATGGGGATGTGCCCGCAACCAAGGTACATGCCCTTGACTGGAATCGAACTTGGAGCACTTCAGTCCGCAGGCCAATGCTCTATTCACTAAGCCAAACCGTTTCGGGCTGTAAGTTTATTTTATATTCTATAATCTTGCTGAACTCACTTGTTAGTTCTAGGTGGATTTTTTTTTTGTAGATACCATTGGATTTTGTGCTTAGAAAATTATGTCATTTTAAATGAAAAGTTTTATTTCTTCTTTTCTGTTTGTTGTTATTTCCTTTTCTTGCTTTATTGCATTAGCTTGAACTTCCAGTACAATGTTGAATAAGAATATAAAGATCAGGTATCTTTACCTTGTTCTCAATCTTAGGAGAAAAGCACCTAGTCTTTTACCATTAGGTATGTTGCTAACTATAGGGTTGTTTGTTTGTTTGTTTGTTTGTTTTTGTAGATGCTTCTTATTAAGTTGAGGAAGTCCTCCTTTATTCCTAGTGTCCTATGATACTTTATATCAAATGGATGTTGAGTATTGTCACATGATTTTTTAAATCAGTTGGTATAATCATGTGATTTTTCTACTTTAGCCTTAATATGGTAGTTAATTAATTTTTTGGTAGTTGATTAATTTTTGAGTATTCAGTCAGTTTTGTATCTCTGGTATAAACCCTACCTATACTTTTAAAAATAGTTCTCTTACTAAGCTGTCATCAAATGACTCCTTCGGAATGTGCCATTTGCTTCGTGCCAGGACTCACACTTGTAAATCATCATCTTACCCGAAACACTAAAATATGGGCTTAAACTCTATTTCCTCCAACTAGGAAGAGATGATGATGAAATCTCATTAAAGGGTAGATTCTGGATTTAAAACTGAACACTTCCCTTCTTCCACTAATGAAAGAAAATGCACTTTTTTACTTATGTGCAAAGTTTTCAGTGGAGATGTAGGACCATCATGCTATTAAGACTGCCTTAAATTTGGAAGCTTGGCTACAATATTTTAGTGGTATGTATACATATATAAGTTTTAAAAATACAGAAAAGGCCCAGCCAGTGTAGCTCAGTAGTTGAGCATCGTCCCATGCATCAAGAGGTCACTGGTTCTATTCCCTGTCAGGGCACATGCTCCATGTTGTGGGCTCGATCCCCAGTAGGGGATGTGCAGGAGGCAACTGATCAATGCTTCTCTCTCATTGATGTTTCTATCTCTCTCTCTCCCTCTCCCTTCCTCTCTCTCTAAAAAAACAATAAAAACATTTAAAAAATACAGAAAAAAAACAGAATAATAGTATACATATTTTAACTGGCTCTGCGTTTTTTGCCGATAAAGTGAAAAAAATCTATAAATATTTAAATGCATATGAACTCTTCTCTAGTACGTTCTAAATTGTGCAACAGGCATACCATCAGAAAGGATATAAAATAATATAAAAAATAACTGAGGAAATAATTTTTAAAGAGAAATCTGTTTAATAACTGATCTTCCCATTGGTATTACTTTCTAAACCACATTCCCATACCTTCTCACTCTAGGCTCTATCTGAATTGGGAGATAGAATATGCAACTTGGAAAGACCTCTAGAGGGGTTTTGCTCAATTGAGAACTGCTGGCCTAAGGAAGAGTAGATTATTAATATTTAAATCTTACCTTCTAAATTTCTATTTTTCAAGACTAAATTCCATGGACCTAAGGAAAATATAAAGCTAAATGGGTAAAAAGAATTATGATAGATCAGTTAGCTTGTCCAATTTATCCAGCATCATTCAGTTTTATTTTTATTTGCAAAAGGAAAACCCACATACATTTATTACTCTACTGTTCTTGGCAGTGTTAGACCTGGATTATTATAATGTGAAAAAAATTATTGTGTTAAAAGGTTGTTAAGTTTTAACTTTGGTCCTAAAATGATAGAAACCAGATATCAAATTAGGTGATAAACTAAGATGCATATTTGCAAAATAGATGTTTAAGAACCAATTAGACAGCTGACGTACAAAAAAGATGTGAGAGTTGATAGCATAGAGCAGGAGTTGGCAAAATTTTTCTCTAAAGAGCCAGTTAGTAAAAATTTAGGTTTGTGGGATATATGATTTCTGTTGCAACTACTCAATTTAGTTGTTGCAATGCAAAAGCAGCCATAGCCAATACTTAAATGAGTGTAGCTGTGTGCCAATAAAACTTTATTTAAAAGACAGGCTGGATTTGGTCTACAGGCTGTAGTTAGCCAGCTGCTGGCATTCAGGAAGAGAGGCATTTATGAAGATGTTCTTTTGGCAGAAGTTCTCCCAAACACCATGAGACTCTCATCTCCAGCCTATAGAGCAGGGGATGGGGAGTATGGGAGGAGACTTTAAGAGGTCTTTGTGAAGTGCCGGACCTGTGTCTTCCTGACGTTATGGGGCATATTGTTTCCAAGACTGGAAATTAGCTCTAACTACCAGTGGTAGAAGTAACATTCATGAGTGTTTCTTGTGCACCCAAGGTAAGTTGAGAGAGAGAGAGAGAGAGAGAGAGAGAGAGAGAGAGAGAGAGAACACCTGTCTAAGCTGGTTTAGTTTGAGTTCAACAGAATCACCTGGTAAGACACAAAGACTCCATCAGAGACAGTCTGTGTAGAGTAGGCTGAAACCTGGGGCAAAGTGGGAAGTGGCCCCAGAGAAAAATGTGACTGGACATTCTCATTTTTAAAATTGAGACTGTGTTTAACCAGAGAATTTTTTTTTTTTAACCATGAGTGAGCTGAGAAGTTAGCTGAAATTTCATTCAGGAGCAAGAGACTGTGCCCTCCCCCCCCCTCCCCCAAACACACACACAATCCACTATTAAAAATTGGAATGGAATTGTGAAGGAAAAAACAAATTGCATTTTTTTGTTTTAGAAATTGTTTATAACATAAAATTTCAAGAGCACAGTCCAAAGAAGAGAAAAGAGATACAGAACTCCCATATATGCATCATGCAGCAATTGTTAACTCAGGTCCCATCTTGTTGCAGTTATACTGTTTATCTACTTTCCTTTCACCATCTCCATACTTTACACATGGAATTACTTTGAAGCATATCCAACATCTGTATTTTCTTTCAATTGGAAGAAAGATCCTGAATTGATCCAGATTCAGGTTCAATTATTTGGTGATGTGTGCACTCCATAATCTCATACGTCTGGCTCTCTCTCTGTTAATATTAATCAGGATTTAGGAAAGTCTGATTCATCTGCTATAAAGTTGTTTATCAGCTTTTTATCAGTTTTCGAAACCATTGGTGATTGTCCATGTCCATAATTTTATTGGAGGAAAATTGCATTTTGATTTCCTCTCATTGGTTGTGCTTATTCAGTGCAAATCTTGCCAGTATGTTAGGATTCCCTGGATGGGAGACAAATTAGTCTTTTTTCACAAGAGACATTTTTATTAATTAGCTTTGGAGTTCCAGTGTTTGTTTGTTTGGTTGGTTGGTTTGTGTGTGTGTATAGAGTTCTATAACTCACTCACCCCGGCCCCACTTTTGCTCAACTGCCTCCTACTACATGAAAAGGCAGTCTAATTCTCCAGCCTGCTTTGGTAAAATCTGCTGACTTCTGTGGGTATGACCTTCAGAGAACTGGTTGCTCCTCTGCTTTGAAAGATCCTTGAGTGCTGATGTGCTTGGTAAGAACAAATGTTGCTCTTCAGCTTGAGAGGATTTCACCTTTTTAATGAAATGCTTCCCAATATTATAATGTATTGGAATTATAACTATTTTTTCTATGCTGAAAATTTTTTCCAGTTGAGAAGAAAGGAGGCACTCTACCTCAATCCATGCCTTGGTTGGGTAATTGGGGGAAGTGGTGGAGTTCTGTGGGGCTGACTTATTACATTCACTTCTCCTAATTCCATCCCTAACTCCTTATCTTGTTCTTATCTTATCTTTGACAGTGTTATCCAAGCCAAGGAAGATATTTGATACTGTCCACATTTCTCACTTTTTTTCTTTTTCAGCACTGTCTGTATAGGACTCATAACATACTTAAGAGAAATTTAAAGTCTTGGGTCAAAAAAAAAAAAAAAAAGGTTGTACTGAGACCACATTCCTGCAGGGAGAAGATCAGGCTCTTAAATAATCTCAATATCATAAGCAAGTGGGCCTCCAATGGAAAATCCCAGGTAAAAGGACACTTTTTCTATGCTTCTACCACTTCTTAGTTGACCCCAGAAAGCAGGTGTGATGGGTATTGTGATTCGTTCATTGATTCCATATTCTATGTATAAACAGTTATTTTCAGCTCGTCCCTTTAAACGAAGCAAAAGTTCTTGGACTTTTTTGTCCTTCCATACTTTTCCACTCTGCCACCAGATATTAATATCAAGTGTTTTTTCATAGCATTGATCAATTTTCCCTTTGTGGACAAGTCTGTTCATATTGTTACCTTTCCCAAGAAAGAAATATGCAATTGGATGCTTCGTACGATACATATGTTTATACTGCCCCCTGAAAGAATTTTGTAGTGACCGAGCATGTTTTTCCATTTGTTTAGAATCTTGATCTAGTTTTTGGTTTTCTGGCCAGAATAAGAGGGAAGCTAAGAAATAAGGTTCTGACAATTGATAAGACGGGCCTATTTGTTGCAAGATTTCTCGAAGCTGATCTTTCAGTTTTTTAGTTGGCATCACAATTTTGGAGGTAGGTTTAATGCAGTAGAGAATGATATTGGCCAAGATGAAATTCTGTTTTTCCTTTTGCTGGATTCTGACAGCGCATTGTTCAAAGAGAAAAGTGTATTTTTTCACTATATCTTCCATGGTGTTAATAGCAATTTCTTGACTTTTGATAAGGTATTCCAAGAGCCCAGAAAACTTGTCTGCTTTTAAAACTTCTAGGCTTCTCCGATACAGCTCTACTCGAAGTGGCAAACTAAGCTGTGATCCAAGATCTCTGTTTTGTAATTCCTCAAAGGGACCAAATATCTCTGCATATTTCTTAAAATATCCAGCCACCTTTCTCCGAGTTTTGGACTGTTCATTTTGCTTAATGTTGCTTCTTGGTTTTAGAAGGACAAAATAGTCATCAAAAAAATCAAAGGACTTTTTCAAAGAAGATCGCAATTTAGTTAGATAGGGAATAAAATTCTTGAGGGCTAATTTAAATTCATTGTTTGGATCCCCAGGAATATCACTATTTCCTGATATAAAATTGATCATATCTCTTTTAGATAGTTCATTTTTATTGTCAAAAAAAGGAATGAGCTGGAGAATCTGGATTGCATAGAGCCCAACTTCTATCTCCCCTTGATAACCAGCAATATTGTAAGTATCATACCTCCTCTTCGACTTCTGATTAAACCTTTCCATTGCCTCATCCTCTTTATATTCACTTTGCTGTTGAGATTCCTTGAATGCTTCTGAGGCATGAACTGCTAAATCCAAAAGTTCAGTTAGATCAGCAACTGAAATGTTTCTGTTTCTTTCATTATTCTCTGTCCACCATCTTATTTTACTTTTGTAGACTTGACCCAGTGTATCTGAGATATAAGAATTGTTAGGTTCTATGTTTTTTGCTTCATTTGCCCAATGAAGGGCACTGGTAAAGTCCCTCTCTTTAATGTAGAAATGTCTTGCCAAGGCTTGGCAAATGAATGCATTTGGGTGGAACCGATGAATACCTTCCAGCAATACTTTTTCAACTGCTTTGTTCCCTTCATCTTCATGTAATGCTTCAATGAATGGGGAAAACCAAGTCCCTGTTTCACCTTCATGTTCAATTCGCTGTCTTGTGAGCAGCAGTGTTTGCATATCCTGGAAAAATTTGCTTCTTCCTATACCAGTATCATAGAACACATTTTCTGTTAGCATATCCCACATAATTTGACTTTTGTCCAAGTCATAGCTTATCTTCAATTCTTCCAGTGAGCGAATAGCAATCAAAGGGTGTATAATGCGCACTCCACAGTATTTTCCACATTCCACGACCTCTGTTTTTATCAGAATTGTAGAGTAGGTGCCCATCTTATCTTCAAGTTTTTCTGTTCCCCAGTAAGCCTTCTTGGGTGTGATTCCTAAAAACTTTTCACACTGTGAAAGTGAAATGGTGGTATCAGGTACATATGAATTAAGAAGAGCCAGAAAAGAAAAGAGCTTTGCCTCCTTGGTGGAAATAATTTGTCCTTTCAGGATATTCCTGACCACATTTTCTATGTACTTTTTATCAAAATTGGTTTTCATGATCATGAAGGAATAAAAATCTTCAAAGTTTTTATGTTGCTCTTCAATTTCTTTCAATTTAAGCTCAAATGCTCTCTGTTCTTTGGGAGATAGTTGTTGTATTAGGGCAATACTGTCTGACATCTTTGCACATTTTTCAGGATTCTGTGATCTTACGCAATTTAGGATGATCAGTAGAGGTTTCTCGTATCGAATGTACTTATTAGCTATAGCTGTTTGAAAAGAGGCCTGCAGAAGATAGATATCACCTTGTTCTTCAAAATCATCAACAAGAAGCAGTACAGGTACGTACTCCTGATGGTTTGTTGTCCCATAGGTAATTAAATTAGTCACTTGTTTTCCAATTTCAGAAAAATCCATTGTCTTGTTCTTCAGCACAGCACATCTGAATTTCTTCCTTAGTTCCCAGAGAATATGCATAGCCAAGGTAGTCCCACCACAGCCTGGATGATGATACAGGTGAATAATTTTGGAACATGTTGACTTTGAAGAATCTGCACAGCTGTGAATCATTTTTTCAAGTTTTTCATATTTATCCCTTTTGACAAAAGGTGAAGAATAGTTTTCAGAAGAAAAATAGAAGTTCCACCATGATACTTTACCACCTCTATAGAAGTCTTCCTCTTTCAAAGCCTTGAATTCAAGGAATTTATCTTTGTCGTTTTCTAAGAGTGTACCTTTACATTCATTTTCACAGAGAATTTCCAGAGCAGTCATGATACCTTCTTCCATTTCCAGAAGGACAGTAGATGAACCAATAGATGGCAAAAATCTCTGTGAAGATTTAGTCACAGATTTTAGTTTAAGAATAGTACCATTGATCTCTTCAAGACTTAAAGAAGAAATACATTGGCTTGATAATTCATCTTGTTTTGTTAATCTTGCTTCAAGTAGATCTTTCCATCTCTGACATATGTGTGAGTGTACACAAACACACAATATATTTTCTATTCCTTTGAGATCTTGGTAGAAAGCACAGAAGGTCTCAATGAGGGGGTCTCTTGGGTCATCCACGGAGGAGAGTAAAAGAAATACCACCAAAAACTTCCCTCTTGGCATTACGTCTTCATGTGTAAGAAATGATATCAATTTCCTGACTTCAGATGCTTTTTCTTTTTGCCAGGAGCTTGGATCTAAGGGTTTGTATTTTTCACTGTCAAGGTCTAACCTGCCATTGCAGAAAATCCAGCTGGGTTGCTGATAAAGATTTAGACTAGAAATCTTCTCATTTGGTGTGGTTTTCCCCTCTACATATAGACTTGGCAAGTGAAGGTTTACTATTCGGCTTTCTTTGTAAGCATTGACTACCCCCTTGCTCACAGATTCAGGATCAAAATCCAGTACAGCAAACCATTTTATTTCCTTTAGAAAATCTAAGTGTTTTATTTGATTAGGATGGCATTTGTTTGTTACAAGAATGTACCATTCATAGTATGAATTATCTAACAAATCCTTATTTCCTGTCAACAATTCAATAAGCTTTGGACCCTCACTGTTTTTATTATTTGTTTTTATTCTGCATTTTTCTTCTGCTTCTTTTCTATGTTCTGCCATTGCTTCTAAACCTAATTGAAATGTTTTGAAATCTACCTTATTTTTCATGATGTCTTTAGAGCTGGCCCCATCTCGCACAAACACTGAGAAATGTTTTCGTTGTTCCCATACTTTGTTGTTGCAGTTCTGCATTTTAATCTGGAAATAATCATGTCCACATTCAGAGTATTTTGGAATGACATCCACTTCAATAACAAATCTGTCAGACGGAGTACTGTTTGGCAGTAAAACTTCTACAAACCTTGGCTCTCGAATGCACTTCTTTGCTTTTTGGACCTGATGGTCTTCAAAATATTGGTGGATCATCAGATTGAAGTGGTCAATGAGGGCTTCTTTGGTGACACTGGTGACATTCACACCAACAATTTTTCCGTGGGGCTTGTCTTTGACTCCAAAATGAATGGTGCCATTGGTCCGTGAATTCATACAAGCTGAAGCAAATCGGAAAACTTCATTGCTAAATTTCATTTTAACATCCTCCTCTGTGGCATTTTTTGTATTTGTGAACTCTTTGAATTCATGTATTGGATCAATGAGATTGAGTGGTCCTGTTTCAGGCTGTAGACAAAAATCCAATTTGTAACGATATGGGTCACTGAATTCATCAAAAGGGTATGATACACATGTCAGATCTATGGATGGCTGCTTTTCCTTTGTATCATCTATTTCATCTCCTATGAACTCACTTTTTAGTGACTTAGAAACTGTACTCATTGTAGAGGCATTAGCCATATCTGATTTCTCTTTACCCTTTTGTTTTTGCTTTGAAGTTTCCTCATTTTCTTCTTGCATCAAAGTTTGTGTTTTAGGCACCTTTTTACTGCCTTTTTTCTTCTGACATATGTGAATAGGATCTTCAGAGGATTCTTTCTGCAATTTTTTGAATAGTTCTTCTATTTGGATAGCTGGTCCATGTGTTATGCCCATTTCGATGAGATGATTTTTAGTTAGAAACTTCAGGACTGCTCCATTCACATCTTGTGCGGTCAAGATTTGCCGGTGTTTTTGGTCAATTTTATGACTATCTAACCACCGATTTACATCATCTTTTGTCCAGTCATCTGTATTTTCTGGCAGGTTTAGTTGTGCGGCCATTCTGATATCTGTATATAGAAAAAATAGATAATTAATATTTTATAAATACATTTTAAAATAATCAACCAATTTTTCAGTAGGTAATATGTATGTCTCATGCAGCTTTAAACGTTCAAAGAATGTGCATGCTATCTAGTTATCCTCCTGAGAGGAAATTAGTGTTACCAGTTTCTTCTGTATCCTACCAGAAAAATGCTACCAAATACAAGCTCTCCCCCCCGCCTGCCCCCCGCCCCGCAATGAAAGACAGCATAGTATACACAATTCTTGTCACCTTGCTTTATTCACTAACTGTATGTTGGGGGCACTTCCAGACAGTATATATAGAGACATTTCATCCTCATTAATGCTTGTTTGCTATAATGTGAGTTAGTGGTATTATTTTAAAATACTCAATTTTGCTATAGAAAATAAGAGAAACAAAGGAGGATATATGACACTAAATAGAGAAGTATTTGTGAAATAAAGAGGAGATATGAAACTAAGTATAGAAGCAAGTAGTTGTGAAACATGTTATGATAGGTGTAGATAAAGTATATAGAACATATGAGTGTTAAACATAGGAAGAGATAGAGGGGCCAAATGGATATTAGTAGTATTATTAAGACACAATTGAAGCACTTGGTATTGTTAAGGTCTTAAATGGGTCTTAATTGGGTGACACCTTCTTTATCTTTGGGGTCCTCTACTCAAGAAACAGAAATAAAATCCAGAATAGCTATGAGGCTGATTAATGAGCTATAGCTGTAGTCCCTCTGCATCTCTCTGTACTTGATTAGAGCAAGTGCATGTCATTGACTCATTATATTTTCTATATGTTGATCCCCCTTGGACAGTCCTCAACTCTGGTTCTCAAAATTATATAGTCGGTGGAGAATGCTGATGCAGCAGAGAAGAGAAGATATGATCTTGCATAACTGGGATAATAAGAACCTTCTACTTTCTTGTAACTTATCCAAAGTATGTTATCCCATATCTTCTCCCTGCTTTTTGTTGTGTATTTAAATTGATTTAATAAGCCATGTGCCTTAAGCATTTTAATTTGGTGTGGGAGCCTTTCTGTTCCATGACTTCTGGGATAGCTTGCTGGGTAGAGAAAAAATTAAATTAATTTTTCACATAATAATTGATAATAGCTTATTTCTGGGCAGTAACAAATGGCATTACTATTTTGTCTACAAATTGGAAGATGAGTATCTGGAATATTCATTGCCATCTGGGTTACAGAAATATAGCACTGGTTAGAAAACATAAAATCCAAATAGCTTTAAGTACAATCCATGATGGCTCCTAAATGTGAGCCATTTTAATGAATCCATCATGGACGAAATCAAATTAACAAAGGAGATTAGCTTGGGGAATTATGGCAAATAGGTTATATAGGCCCACTTCTATGAAATAATGCACAGGAATATTGCCTTCAAATGTAGATATAAATTCAAGGTTAGGATTTACCTTCCCTTTGAGACATAAAGATGCTGGAGGTGTGATCTAAGGTTAAAGCTATTATTTTTGGGTAGTAATTTCTGTATGCATAGAAAGTGAATAATATCTTATGCCCTGTCCGGTATGGCTCAGTTGGTTTAGTGTCATCCCATGTACTGAAAGGTCACTGGTTTACTTCCTATCAGGGCACATGCCCAGCTTGTGGGTTTGGTCCCTGGTCAGTGTGCGTATGGGAGGCAATCAGTCAATGACTCTTACATTGATGTTTCCTCTCTCTCCCTCTCCCTTCCACTCTCTCTAAAAAAATCAGTAAAAGTAAAATATCTCACAGCTACAGTAATACAAAATAGTCAAAATAGGCAATTTGGTGGGAATTTTACTCCCTTACAACACTATGACAATGAGAAACCTAGAAGATTTAACGCCCTCTTAAAAAATGTGAATTAAATGAAGTTTCCTTCAGCAGTTTAGCCTATATAGATTAAGAAGTTCAAATTTTAAGTTATCTGGGAAAAGAAAAATGAGTGGAGAGGGAAATTGCTTTTGGTATACTAATCTTCAAAGTAAGCACCTTTTGTGGGGCTACATCTTAATGTGCATCAAAGGACACAATTAACAAAATGAAAAGGCAAGCTATGGAATGGGAGGAAATATTTGTAAATCATGTAACTGACTTGATAATATCCAGAATATAGTAAAAACTATAACTCAACAATGACAACCAAACAAATAATCCAATTAAAAAATGAACAGTGGACTTGCATATGAAAAGATGTTCAACATCACTAATCATTAGAGAAAAGCAAACCAAAATTACAATAATATATCATTTCAAAACCATTATGATAATTGTTAAAAAAAAAAAAAGGACTCTGAAAATAACAAGTATGGTGGGGATGTGAAGAAATTGGAAGGAACTCTTGTGTACCATTGCGGGGAATGTATAATGCAACCAACATGGCCTACCCTAAAGGAATGGTTAAAGCAAGTTATCTAAACAGAAAGAAAATGATTAGAGAAGGAACCTTGGAATATTAGGAAGGAAATAAGAACATGGTAAGCAAAAATATTAGTAAGTATGATAGAGTTTCTCCTAGTTGGTTTTCTAAATTGTTTCTTGAAGCACTGTCTGACATGGTTCTAAATGTATATAGTGGAAATAGTTAAGATAATTAAAAGTGGATAGGGTAAAGGGATATATAGGAACTAAGATTTCTTCACTTTACTCAGATTAGTAAAATAGTACCATTACACTGTCATAAATTATCCTACCTAATAAAGAGGGAATATGCTAATTGACCCTCGCAAAAATGGCGAAATGGCAATGCCCACAGACAATAAGGAGGGAATATGGTAATTGGCTGCCCCGCCCTCAAAGATGGCAGTGCCCACCACCACAAGATGGCGGCGCCCAGTCCCCTCAGCCCCGCTGGGATGCCTGCCTTCGGAATCCCCCAGTCCCGGCCCAAGGCACAGGCAAACCTCGGATGGCGACTGCCCAGCCACCCAGGGCCGCCCAAGGCTCAGGTAACCAGGGCCGGCCGAGGCTTGCGCTGCCGGCAGTGGCAGCAGCAGAGGTGTGATGAGGCGTCGCCTTCCCCTGATCACCGGGTCACCTCCCACCCCTGAGGGCTCCCGGACTGTGAGAGGGGGCAGGCCAGGCTGAGGGACCCTCCCTCCAGTGCATGAATTTTCATGCACCGGGCCTCTAGTACATATATATAATGCAATGTCTAGAGCAACCACTAGGAAAAGCTATACAAAGTTATATACTTAAAAAGACTGTAGATAAAGGTGGAATTGTGAAAGAATTTCAAATAACACACAGGAAGTCAGGAAAATAAGGTAGAGATATGAAGATTAGAGAATAAAAAGAAATAAAAAAAGTAGACAAAATTATTAACATATAAATAATGACATTAAATATAAGTAGCCTAAATACAGAAATTAAAAGGCAGAATTGGTATACTGGATTAAAAACATGACCCAAGATATCCTGTCTATAAGATACTCCATAGGTTGAAAGTAAAAGTATGGGCAAAATATATAATATAAACATTAATTAATAAACTCAGGAATAGCTATATTAAGGCCCAGAGCAAAGAATATTACCCAGAGGAATATTATGTACTGATAAACAGGTTTATCCAACAAGACTCTAGAGCAATCCTACAGTGTTTGCACCAAACAAGAAAGTTGCAAAACATTTGAAGCAAACTGATAGAACTTTTCGTTTTAGGCAAATCCACAATTATAGTTGGATATTTCAACATCTTTTAATAGTTGATAGAACAACTACACAGGACATTAGTGAGAATGGAGAAGAATTCAACACCATTGACCAACAGGTTTTAAATCACAGACCACTCCATCCAACAACAGCAGAATATCAGTCTTTTTAAGTGTCCAAGATAGACCATATCCAAAGTTCAACAAATTTTAAAAAATTGAAATCATATAAAATATGTATGATGGAATCTTATAAACTGGTAATGAAAGAAAAGGAAAATTACTAAACACTAAAGCCATACATTCCTAAATAATTCATGACCAAAGAAAAGTAAAAGAAAGACATTGCAGTGAATGGAAATGAATATACAACATATCAAAATTTGAGGGACACAGTTAAAGCAGTTTAAAAGGAACAACAATAAATGCATATATTAGAAAGAAGAAAAGTCTCAAAACAATCTAAGCCAAGCATGTCAAACTCATGGCCCACAGGCCACATGTGGCCCACACGAATATTTTTGTGGCACAGTCAATATAATGGTATGTAAGAAACGTTTTAATAAAAATTTCATAACTTAATTTTTACAATATCCTGTTATACATAATTATTAATAATGAACTACAATGCTCGCTAATGACTGATTACTATAATCGTGTTGCATTCATTTCCCTTATGCGCCTTACACATAGGTGCACCATTTCTCTCCACTAATACTGGTAGCGAATATTTTAGCAGCCAATTGCCACGTCATTAGTCTTGTACTGACTTATTTGGTGTGCGCAATAGGACATATTTCACTTTCGGAGAACAAGAAACATAGATTTATTTGTGTTACGCTTATTAATTTGTGCAGTTTTTCAGTGTCTGGTAAGTTAATGTTCAAGAAAAAATATTAATTTTTATTAAAATTTTCTATTATTTTATGTTAACGATTACTCATTTCAGCCCTTTGAATTCAGCATGTCTATCAAAATTGTTTGTATGAAAATTGAAGCTTCTGTGGTTTTTTGGGTTTTTTTTTGCGGCCCACATAAATTTAAACCTTGTTTATTTGGCCCGTGTTAGCCTTTGAGTTTGACATGCTTGATCTAAGCTCTTAACCCAGAAACCTAGACAACTTTGAAAAAGAAGAGCAAAATAAAATATAGGCAAATAGAAGAAAGGAAATAATAAAGAATAAAAATAAATTGAAAACAGAAATATAATGGAGAAAGTCAGTGATGTAAAGATCTGCTTACTTGAAAAGATCATAAAATTGACAAATCTCTAGCAAGACTGAAAAAGAATAAAAAGAGAAGACACATTTACCAGTATCAGAAATGAAACAGTGGATATCATTTTAAAACTTTCAGATATCAAAAGGGCAATAATGGAGTACTATGAACAATTTGACAACTCAAATGAAATGGACCAATTCCTCAAAAACACAAACTTCTACAGCTCACTCAATATTAAATAGATCATTTGTATAGTCCCAGAACTTCAAAGAAAACTGGATTTTTAAAATATGTTTTTATTGCCCTAGCCGGTTTGGTTCAGTGGATAGAGCAGTGATGGCGAACCTTTTGAGCAAGGCGTGTCAGCATTTTGAAAAACCCTAACTTAACTCTGGTGCCCTGTCACATATAGACATTTTTTGATATTTGCAACCATAGTAAAACAAAGACTTATATTTTTGATATTTATTTTATATATTTAAATGCCATTTAGCAAAGAAAAATCAACCAAAAAAATGAGTTCGCGTGTCACCTCTGACACGCGTGTCATAGGTTCACCATCACTGCCTTAGGGAATGCATATACATATTGCCACAGAAAATCTTCACACACACTATATATGATTCAACTATTCCACTTCTGGGTATATATCAGAAGGAAATGAAATCATTATCTAAAAGAGATTATCTGCACTCACATGTTTATTGTAGCATTTTCACAACAGCCAAGATAAAAAGACAACCTGAGTGCCTGTCGAAAGACCAATAGATAAAGAATAGGTTCACCATATACACACAATGGAATATTTTCGGCCTCCAGAAAGAAGGAAATCCTGCCATTGGTGACAACGTGGATGAAACTTGAGGATATTATACTAAGTGAAATAAGCCAGAAAGAGAAAGACAGTTACTGTATTTCTCATTTATATGTGAAATCTAATAAAAAAGTCAAACTCATAGTAAAAGGGATAACAAGGGGTTGGAGAGGAAAGGGATGGGCAGATGTTGGCAAAACTACAAATTTGCAGTTATGTAGAGATGTCTAGAGAGCTAATGTATAAGCATGATGAATATACTTAATAGTACTCTTTTGAATGCTGGAAATATGCTAAGAGAGTAAATTTCAGGTACACTCATCACAAAAATGAATGATATCTGTGTGAGGAGATAATATGTTAATTAGCCTGACTATAGTAATCATGTCACTATACATCTATAATAATAAAAGTATAATATGCTAATTAGACTGGACATCCTTCCAGACATCCTGGAACACTACTGAGGAACAGTGAAATGAGTTATTTCTCAAAGGATGTCAGCACAGAACAAAGACAGATTGTGGCTGATAAATGGCCTACTCTTGCATGAATTTTTTGCATTGCAATTCTAGTATGTACATAAAATCATTATGTTTTATACCTTAAATATATACAATTTTTATTTTAAAGTGCTGCATTAAAAAATTTTAAGATACAGTGTCAATAATACTTGGAGAGGATATTTATAGTCTAAATGCTTTTATAAAACTAGAAAAAAGCATACACTAAATGTCAATTTAATAAGTTCAAAGAAGAACAACAGAATAAAGCGGTCTAAATGCTTTTATAAAACTAGAAAAAAGCATACGCTAATTGTCAATTTAATAAGTTCAAAGAACAACAGAATAAAGCAGAACTAAATGAAAGCAAGGAAAAAATAAAGATAAGAGCAGAAATTTATAAAATGGAAACAGAGTTACAACAGAGAGAATCAAGGAAGCCCAAAAATTGTTCTTGATAAAGAGTAATAAAATTGACACACCTGTGGAAAGAGTGATCAAGAAAAAATGAGATGGCACAAATATCAGATGCTGTAAATTTGAAGAATGAAGTGAACTGAACAAATTTCTTGAAAAATATATTTACCAAAACTGACTGAAGAAGAAATGGAAGGAGTCCCACTTCCCAGTGTGATGTAGTAGATTCCAGCGGGACACCAGCACTCCCACTATAACAACTAGGAAAAAAGAAGTCAGATAAATGACAAAACATATTTTTGAAGTTATTACAGAGTTGTAGATGGACTTCATGACAAGGACTAGTTGAATCAGAATTCCAGAGAGGGAAGATCCCTTCTTCTTCTTTTTTTTTTAATTCTTTATTAGTTAAGGTATTACAAATGTGTCCTCATCTCCCCCATTAAATCCTGAACCTCCCCCCGCCCCTCATGCTCTCATCCCCCTGTTGTCCATGTCCATTGGTTTGGCTTATATGCATGCATACAAGTCCTTTGGTTGATCTCTTCCCCTTGCCCCCTCCCTCCCCTACTTTCCCTCTGGGGATTAATAGTCTGATCGCTGTTTCTCTGTCTTTGGATCTGTCCCTGTTCATCAGTCTATGTTGTTCTCTATATTCCACAAATGAGTGAAATCATGAGGTATTTATCTTTCTCTGACTGGCTTATTTCACTTAGCATAATGCTCTCCAGTTCCATCCATGCTGTTGCAAAAGGCAAGAGTTCCTTCTTTTTTACCGCACCGTAGAATTCCATTGTGTAGATGTACCACAGTTTTTTAATCCACTCATCTGTTGATGGGCATGGAAGATCCCTTCTTACGTAAGCTTTGGGGCATTTGCTCATTCTAGGCTGAGGTTGAGGACTAGACCTGGCCTGTTGGGAGGAAGAGAAACCAGTGGGGCTTTTCATGGTCACATGGGTGGATGTGATGAATTGGAATCTCAAACTGCCCCAGAATCTTTAACCATCATGGAAATGCAAAGTAAAACTACAATGAGATATTACTGTATACCTAGCATAATGGCTAAAAATAATGCCTGACAATACCAAGTAGTGGTGGTGAGGTAGAGTCAGTGGAATGCTCATACATTTCTGGTGGAAATATAAATTGTTTTAGCCACTTTGGGAAACTATTTGGAAGTTTTAATAAAGTTAAATGTGCCAGTAATGATAGAAAACATAATGTAAGGTACCATTTCTATGAAGTTCTAGAACAGGCAAATTAATCTATTATAGTAGAATTCAGTGGGTATCTTCTGGCAGGGCAATATTTTCTGGGGAGTGGCACAAAAAATACTTTGTGAAATGAATAAAGGAAACCTTATTCAACATGGAGCTGGAAAGCCATGGAGGGAGAGCTCTCCTCTTCCCTGCTTGTTTCAGTAACAGCAACTGCTTTTCACTCTTTGCCAATAAGAAACTGCCACAACCGTGTACACTCCCTCCAACCCTCACTGATTCGCTCCTGTTAAAACAACCCTCCTCAATATCCTCCAAAAATCCCCTCCCAAACTGACCTCCCTTTTGTTATTTTGTACTTAGCTATGGTCCACCATAGTTTGCAAGTCCAAAATTGCAATTCTTCTGCTATTCCCAAATAAACTAATTTGCTTCTCGATAACCTTTGTTGTTTATTTTTTTAAGATTGATAATTTTATATCTTGGTTTGGTTAGTGGTTACACTGATGAATACACAAAAATTTCATAGAGCTGTACCCTTAAGATCTGTTCATTTCATAGAAATTATACATCATATGAAAAGTCAATGACGCCTCCAAAATGCATGGTAAAATAAACAGATGAATAAAATAAAAAAGATACTTGCATAGAAAAAGATAATGGTATGTTACCAATCATGGATAATGATTAACTCAACTCTGGGCACATGAGGTCTGAAAGTTACACTAGAGATTTATTGCAGCCTTAATCACGGGATCAGCTTTTCGTTTTACATGCCACTGTTGACTCATAGTGGTTTTATAGTTGTCTAAAATCTGATCCTACTGTCCTCTAGGAACTCTGCTATGTGAGTCATTTTCCTATGTCCATCTAAATCTCATCTACCCCACCCTGTAAATCAGTGTACAGCTCACTTCTGTTGTATCCACACTATTGTCATACCTAAAGCAGGGGGCACCCTTGCCAGCTGTGTTCAGGCTCCTAAATCCTCATACCTGGAGTTCTCCTGCCCCATCTCCTGCCCCATCCTATCAGTATATAGTGGGGCCTTGACTTACGAGTTTAATTCGTTCCAAGACCAAGCTTGTTAAGGAGCTCATTAAGGAGCTGGTTAACTCAAATTACTCTATCAACTCAATGCAAAAAATCGGCGGAGAGACAGCTGGTATCTCAAAAAACTCGTTAGTCGGGACACTCATAAGTCAAGGCCTCACTGTACTTCTCCAGGAGTCTCCCTGATTTCCAGTAACAGTTTTATAAACTCAGCCCTTATCTCCTATGTGATACCTCAAAAATCAGATTATGAGACTGAGTGTTGAATTAGATGGATTATTTTATTCATGCATGAGCTGCATACCATGTACACATGAAACACAAAGCCAGGTGAATGGGGTGCCAGGACTGAATGTTAGGTTGGGAATGTGAGCAAATAAAAAAGGAATGGCTTTTGACTATTTTCTCTACCAGATTATGGATCTTTTTTATTTAAAAAAAATAAAATTTATTGGGATGACATTGGTTAATAACATATAAGTTTCAAGGACGCAGTTCTGTAACACATCATCTGTATATTGTATTGTGTGCTCACCACCCAAAGTCCACAACCCAAAGTCAAATCTCCTTCTGTCATTATATATTTGACCCCTTTTATCCTTTTACTACCTCCTCTGGTGACCACCATTCTGTTGTCTATGTCTATGATTTTTAAGTCATGATTAAACAGCTTGAAGTTTCACACTGCTTCCTCTAAAGCCTTTATGAGGGTCTTTCAATAATGTACTTTAAATAAATTGTTGAAGATGTTGGGAGGATATTAACTAGAGCAGTGATTTTCAACCGGTGTGTCCCAAGAAATTTCAAACATGCAATACCTGACTATTTAGTCAGGGGCACTAACCTCTTTTCCCTTAGATTGTCAAATAAAAAAATGACAATAGCCAACACAACAATAGCTGTCTGGAATCAAAATTATACCTATTTTTTGTCAGAGTGGCAAAAAATATATATGTTGGTGTGCCACAGAATATTAATAATTAGTTCATGTGTGCCATGAGATGAAAAAGGTTGAAAATTGCTGCACTAGAAGAATGATTGCTAACTTCTATGTTTTCCACATTTACACTACTTTTCAGAGGTGTTTCACATATTAATGATTCCTTTATATCCTCTCTTGTTCCAAAATTTTTTTTAGATATTTCAGAAACTTATACAGGATCACACATATGTGAAAACCCTGGGGTAGAGAAATCGGTGGCTGGGGGCGGGTGGGGCGGAGGGGAGTCCTAGCTGGTTTGGCTCAGTGGATAAAGCCTATGGACTAAGGGTCCCGGGTTTGATTCCAGTCAAAGTCAAAGGCACATGCCTGTGTTGCAGGCTTGATCCCCAGTAGGAGGCGTGCAGGAGGCAGCCAATCAATGATTCTCTCTCATCATTGATGTTTCTCTCTCTCTCTCCCTCTCCCTTCCTCTCTGAAATCAATTTTTAAAAAATCAGGGGGAAGACTAGTTAGGGAAGATAGAAGGTGGAAAAAAATGAAGCCATGGAGTAAAGTTAGTGTCTAAAATAACTTTTCAGTTCTATATACTTTACTAGAAGTGGCCTAAAATTTTGGTTCTGAGCTTCTCAGCAACCACTATAAAAAAGGGAACAATTTGTTACATGATTAAACCCACATACATTTATTTGTTAACTGTAGGGTTTGTCAGCTTTTCTAAAGAGAGTTGAATTTTAGGCCTTGATTTAGAAATGTAACCCCACAGCCCCTTGTTCCTTGCTTTGGAGGAAATCAGACATAAGAACCTAGGACATTTAGCAGGAATGTATAGCTGCCATAACTTCAAGGACTTCCTGTAGCAGTCTCTGTTCTGTCTCTCTGAATCTGTCATCTGACACTAAATATCTGAGAATCTATCCTGGAGTTTTATTTTCTGGCAGCTGCCTACTTCTTAGAGTGGATGGTAGAAAGTATCTTTGATTAATGTAAAGCATATCTTTAAATTTTCATTAAATGTTCTTTCTGAAGATGCTAATGCCTTGGAGAATTTCATCAATAAAAGTGCCTTTAGTTAACAACTGCACCTTTTATGGAATGTTATGACTCATTTTTCAACTAATATAAAGCCAACTCCTGTCACAGAAATGAAGTTTAGAATGTCTAGGCTTAAATATTATTTTTTATTTTGGGGTATATTACAATATTCTAATTGAAAAGTAGATTTCTTCCTATTTAATAAAATGCTTCTATGGATAGTAATAATGATATTGATAATAGATATTGTACTTACCCAGATTGCCTTGCAAATTTCTTCTACATAAATGGGATGAAAACCATGGATTTCAGTGCAGAAAACATGTAATGTCTGTGGTTTCTTCCTCCTACAATGTCAGAAAAAGACATTTTCTTCCTTAGAGTTTTCATGAACGTTTATTTATACTCTGCTTTTACCTCAGTCTGAGCTCTAACTGGCTCAGAAACAACAGGGTGTGTCTCAGAAATGGGTGTGTCGAAACTGGCAGATATGGGAAAGGAAGCCAGTCATCTGCTGCTTTTCAGTTTCATTTTCCTAGAGCTGGGGTGGGCAAACTTTCTGACTTGAAGGCCACAATGGGTTCTTAAGGGCCGGAACAAAAGCATGGATGGAGTGTTTGTGTGAACTAATATAAATTCAAAGTAAACATCATTACATAAAAGGGTATGGTCTTTTTTTTTTTTTTTTTTTTAGTTTTATTCATTTCAAATGGGCGGATCCGGCCATGGGCCGTAGTTTGCCCATGGCTGTCCTAGAGTTAAGTTTATTTTGCTCTGTAAAATGCTTTTTTTAAATTTTTTTTTACTATTATTACTCTGCCACCTTCTGGTCTTTTTGATTAAAACCCAAAGGTTTCAAATCTGTTCTTTGCTTGAGAGTTCTGAGGACTGAGAGCCCTGCTGTTATCTTGGCTATAGATAAACTCTGGGACAGTCTGAGTGGATCCTCTGGGAATACTGGTTTCCATTGTTGTTAGGAGCCTTGTGAAGCTTCTGGTAGGAAACAGCATAGGTTGATCTTTCCCTGGCCTTCCAGAGAGGGCTAACCATCCATACGTTTTCCTAAAGTGTAAAGGAATGGCTTTCAGAGACTTTTGAGCCCTCTATAAATGCTAAGGGCCTCTGAATTAGTTCTGCAAGCAGACCAGGGTCAGGGTCCCCCACCCCCATGGCCACTTTGCAGGAATTTATCCTTTTAAGGTCAGTCTCAGGGTAAAGAACTGCCTAAGAGCCACAAAAACAATGAACATTTAAAAAATTAACAGCAGGTACTAATACTTATTGTGTATACTCAATTAGCTTTTGGTTTCCACATCCCACTGTTGATTCACATAGGTTTTTATATGGATTTTAAACATTTATTGGGCACTTACTATGTCCCATGCAGTGTTACCTTACTCTTTTTAAAAATCCTCTGAGGTAGTTGCTATTTTATCTCCATTTTACAGCTGAAGAAAGTGAGGCACAGAGATTATATTTATTCTAGGGGCCCAGTGCATGAATTAGTGCACCTTGAAAGGAACTGTGGGCCGCGAGGCTGTGGTAGGCACAGGGGCAGGCAGGTCTTGGCCCATCCTCCACCACCCTGCCTGGCCCCTCCCACTGCAGCCCCTGGTCCCCTGTCTGCTGGCAGTCGCACTCCCGCTACTGCCACTCCCGTGCACTGACAGCGCCGCTTGCACCAGCTGATGGCACAGAGCGATTGGGGCTGGTGCCATCAGTGAGTGCGAGCAGCAGCTGCTGTCCTGATTGCCCCTCAGGAGCAGGGGGTGGTGGAGAAGTCTTTAGGGGCAATCAGGGCTGGCAGTTGCTGCTTGCACTCGCTGATGGCACCGAGTGATCAGAACCGGCGCCAGGCACTGGCAGCGGGTACAAGTGGCAGCTCCAGAGCCGGCTGCGAGTGCGAGCGGGGACAGCGCTGGCAGCAGGTGCGTGCACCAGGCGGGACCATGGCACATGAGAGCAAAGAATTTTCAGGAACCACCAGAGGCTTGCCACAATAACAGTGACCAGCGCCCCGCCTTGGTCAGGCGCCCCCGCTCACCTGCTCCACCATCCCTCCGCCAACACCTACACGCCCCCTGGTGGTCAGTGCACATCATAACTACCAATTGTTTGGTTGTTCGGTCTATGTGCATATTAGCCTTTTATTATATAGGATATTTATATAAGCATATATAGATACATGTATATGTACACACACACATATGTCCATGTTTATTTATATCCTCTTGGTTCTGTTTCTCTGGAGAACCCTAACTAATGGGCACAAGTAGTTTGACAATCTGGAATACCCCACACCCCAATCTAGATATAAAACATTTCTGTATGGCATGTCCCTCCCCAGTCACTCCTAATGTCCTCCAGAGGAAGCCACTCTTCTGATTTTTTTTCCACCAGAGATTAGTTGTACATGCTCCAGGTGTTCATACACGTGGAATAATCTACACTAATAAAAGAAAAGCATGCAATTTGACCATACCTTCACTATACCTTAAGCCACGCCCACCAGCCAATCTGAGTGACTATATGCAAATTAACCCAACCAAGATGGCGACCGACAGCCACGGAGCTGGAGCAAGCAGGAGGCTTGGTTGCCCCAATGATGGAGGAAGCCAAGCTTGCCAGCTGCCACAGCCGGCTCTGAGCTCCACACAAAGCAACAAAGTTTCAATTATAGAAGGTAAATAAATCCCAGAATAAAAAAGAAACAAAAAAAGGAGAGGCTGGGAGCTTCTGTCACTGGGGGGCTTGGCCAGCCTGAAAATGGCCCTCAGACCCTCACCCAGACTGGCCAGGCACCCGAATGGGGACCCCCCCCCACCCTAAAGGGGGTGTGGCCAGCCTGAAAACAGCCATCAGCCCCTCAACCAGGCTGGCCAAACCTCCTTGGCGTGAGGGTCCCCACTGAGGGGGGCTTGACCAGCCTCAAACAGCCATCAGCCTCTCACCCAGGCTGGCCAGGCACCCCAGTGGGGACCCCCACCCTGAAGAGGGTGTGGCCAGTCTGAAAATGGCCCTCAGCCCCTCACCCAGGCTGGCCAGGCACCCCAGCGGGACCCTCACCCTGATCCAGGACACCCTTCAGGGCAAATCAGCTGGCCCCACCCATGCACCAGGTCTCTATCCTATATAATAAAAGGGTAATATACAAACTGACCCTAACAGCAGAAAGACTGGGAATGACTGGTCACTATGACACACACTGACCACCAGGGGGCAGATGCTCAATGCAGGAGCTGCCCCCTGGTTGTCAGTGTGCTCCCACAGGGGTAGCTCTGCTCAGCCACAAGCCAGGCTGATGGTTGCCAGTACAGCGGTGGTGGTAGGAGCCTCTCCCGCCTCCTCAGCGGTGCTAAGGATGTCTGACTGCAGCTTAGGCCTGCTCCCCACTGGCAAGTGGACATCCCCCGAGGGCTACCGGGCTGCCAGAGTAATGTCTGACTGCCAGCTTAGGCCCAATTCCCCAGGGTGTGGGCCTAAACCAGCAGGTGGCCATCCCCCAAGGGATCCCAGACTGCGAGAGGACACAGGACAAGCTGAGGGACCCCCCCCCCACCAGTGCACAAATTTTTGTGCACCAGGCCTCTAGTATACTATATACTCCTCTGTGACTGGATTCTTTTATTCAACATAATGTAATTGAGATTGGCCCTAGTGTTGCATGTATCAGTAGTTTGTTCTTTTCTTATTGTCAAACTTGAGGCCCGATGAATGAAATTCACGCAAGGGGTTCAGCCCCCACCACCGCGGCCTTGGGCCCCCGCTGCAGGAAGGACGTCCTGTCTAATTAGCATATTACGCTTTTATTATTATAGATGTATAGATGTATTCTCTTTTGTCAATATAACACAATTTATTTATCTAGTTTCCTTTAAATAGATATCCCATCCCAGTTATTTCAGTTTTTGGTAGTCATGAATAAAGCTGCTATAACTATTTTTGCCCAAGTATTTTTGTGGACATGTGTCTTCATTTCTCTTTGGTAAAAACCTTGACATGGAATTGCTTGAACAAATAGGTTTGTATTTAATTTTATAAACAACAGTCAAGGCTTTGTCAAAACTTGTACCAGAAGCAGTACTCTTTAAGATATGGTAAGTCTGTGTGTCAGCCACTGTATAAGTCAAAATGAAATAAGGAACTCATGTCATCTCTCCTGCTAGTGTAGGAATAAAGAAATAATGGTATTCAGCATATCAGTGTCATGAGTCTGAGGCTGCCAGGCACCACGATTTTACTCCCATCTCCATCTTTGAGTAACAGGTGATTTAGTATCATTGGTACCCATAATACCTGGCCTGATGCTATAATATCACGTATGTTCTCACCCTCTTATGAGTGGTCAGATGTGGCACCCATTGGCAAATGTTTATGTTTTTGCAATATCTGTAATGAGCATATTTTCAGAACTGCCAAGATGAGCCAGCAAAACAAATCTGCTTTACACACATTGCGTGAGCAGTTAGAAACTTAATATAGTTGGTTGAAATAACAAGGATAAAGTGACGTCATGGGGATAACATATAGATATTGTATCCTACCAGGCAGATCTTGCTCCTTTGCAGACAATTGAGATACCTTTTAAATAAAAGCAGACCACATGGATATTTACTGTTAACTCTCTAGCTGTTACTGATTTTTCTTTCTGGATGAACCCGTGTATCATATACCATGACTCACTTTGAATGATATTTTTCATGTTTCTAAGACTGTAAGAACAAGTTGAATCTTTTTGTGGCTATTTATACTCAATACACATCTTCAGTTTTTGAACACATGAAGCTCCTTGAAGAGCTGACTCCCTTCAGGAACTGGCTTGTGCCCTCAGTTTGTGGTACTTAGTTACAGCGGCCCTAGGAAACTAATAGAATCACCAATAGCTACAAGCCTTCCATCATCTCAGATGCAAACATTTCACCATCATCTCCTGCCCCCAAGATTCACTATGTTTAGTGCTCAAACTCTATATTTCTTTAACACCAAGACCTTTAATCATTGATACTATTACTTTCTCACTTTCCTCACCCCTTGTCATGTCCTCACAACCTCTTATTGACTCTGTTTTCAATACAGCAGCCAACATGATCCTGTTTAAATTTAAGTGTAATCATATAACTCTGATCAAGACCCTCCAATGATTTCTCATCTCACTCGGAGTCAAAGCCAAAGTCCTTAGGTAAACTCCTACATGACATGCTCATTCCGCTTTTTTAAACCCTCCTCACCTCCACTCACCCTGCTCACTCCACTCCAGCCATTCAGGTTGTCTTGCTGCTCCCCAAACATGTCAGGCATGCTGCTGCATCAGGTCTATGAAGTAGCTATTCCTACTGCTAGGAATGCTCTTTCTCTAGACCAGTGGTTCTCAACCTTCTGGCCCTTTAAATACAGTTCCTCATGTTGTGACCCAACCATAAAATTATTTTCATTGCTACTTCATAACTGTAATGTTGCTACTGTTATGAATCGTAATGCAAATATCTGATATGCAGGATGGTCTTAGGCGACCCCTGTGAAAGGGTCGTTCACCTGCCAAAAGGGTCGCGACCCACAGGTTGAGAACCGCTGCTCTAGATACATAGCTCACACTCTCACTTGAGCCCTTTATTCAAATTCAGTGCGGCCTTTCTTAGCTACCCTTTTGAAATTTCAGTCCTTCCTCTAGTGCTTTCCCTCACCCTTCCTTGCTTCATTTTTTTAAAAAAGAATTTACATACTATGTTTTACTTAATGATCTTCTCATTCTCTGTCTCTGTCTCATTCTCTGAATATAACACCCAGGAGAGAAGACATTTTTGCCTTTTGTTCAGTGGTGAATCCCCTAGTGCCTGACATAGAGTAAGTGCTCAGTAAATATTTGTTGAATGAAGAAATTAAGATTTTTAGAGTAGTGGAATGCTTGAACTGTATTTTTGTAAACCCATGAATTAGCATTGCCTATAAAACAAAGGACTTGGGAAATTTCCTTTTTTCTACCTTTACTCATTTCACCCATCCCCATCCTCTGCCTTTGCAATCACCAATCTATTCTCTGTATCTATGAATTTGTCTTTTTTTTCAATTCAACATATAAATGATATCATACAGTATTTGTCCTCTTGTGTCTTATTTCACTTAGCATGTTTTTAAGGTCTATCCACGTTGTCACCAATGGCAGGATTTCTTTCTTTCTCATGGTTGAATTGTATGTATCAACCACATTTTTTTAATCCATTCATCCCTCAGTGGACACTTAGGTTGTTTCTGTAAATAATGCTGCAGTGAACATAGGGGTGCAGATATCTTTTTGAGACAGTGTTTTTGTTTTCTTTGGATAAATACCCAGAAGTGGAATCGCTGGGTCATATGGTAATTCTTTCTATTTTTGAGAAACCTCCTTAATGTTTTTTATTGGTGGCTGTACCAATTTACATTCCCACCAACAGGGCCTAAGAGCTCTCTTTTCTCTATATTTTCACCAACACTTGTTATTTCTTGCCTTTTGTATAATAGCCAGTCTAACAGGTGTGAGGTGATATTTCATTATGGTTTTTAAATTTTTTCATTTTTATCATTAGATCAGAACCAAATCCAGCTTCCAAGTCAGATGGTCATAATGAGTGAGAAAGGAGTTTTCATTTTTTAAAAAGAAAAGTTGGTAGACATGTTCTTCATCCACTGGCTCATTACAGCAACCTGAGCCCCGGTTTTCTAGCACCTCTTATTAGTTTTTGCTGTCTCATTTACAGTCCCTGAAGGAGCATGTTTCTCATACAGGATTTTCTATCCTAGGTCCTTATGAGCCAGACTTCCAGGGGCCTCTGCTGTGTTAAATGCTCTTGTTACTCTGGGCAAATGGACTCTCCTCTGGAGGTGGTCTTATCATGCTCTACAGACTTACTGTGTTCACATCTGAGGCAGTATCTTATCTTATCCAGAATACTCCAGCATTCTACAAGAAGCAGCACATGAAGGGTTTCCTGCTTATCAGCCACTGCATGCCCAGAGACACTCTGTGTGTGTGTGTGTGTGTGTGTGTGTGTGTGTGTGTGTGTGTGTGTGTGAGAGAGAGAGAGA